AGAGCAAAGGCTTTGGAATGGGACAAAACCTACCAGGACTAGCTCTGCCACATAACAGCTGTTTTACTTCTCCGAGTCTCCCTTTCCTCGTTGTAAAATGGGGATAATAACAGTACAACCGTCATACGGTGGTGGTGAGGGCCGGATGAGGTCATGTTAAGCATGGAGGAAGCTATCCATAAAAGGCCGCTGTCCCTACCACAGTGTACTAGTGCCTGTGGCCCGGGTCCCTCTCCACAACTCAGCTGCTCCCTGCCGGCAGGGGGGGCCNGAATAAGAAGACGCCAGGGCACTAGTTGGTGGGGGGAGGGCATCAGCTGTCCCAAGGAATTTCTGGGCACTCTCTATGCCCCTCAGCCCCCTGAGAACTGAGGCTCAGAACTCAGACCCATCACCCAGTCCAGTCCCAAAGCCCAGCACAGGGGGCCTCCCTGTTAAGTGGTCCATAACCTCATGAGATCAGATGGATCAGCCACAAGGCCTCTCCTGCCCCATAATTACCCAACCAACATGCAGGTGGGGACTGGCAGCCTTAAGTGACTTCAAGGGCCCTCAGATCCTTCCTCCCCAAAGAGCCTCTCTTGGGACACTCAAGAGTCCCTCCTTCTCATTTTCTGTTCTGCCTCCTCCTCAAAGGGCAAACAAAGGGGCAAGATGGGGAATAGGCTGAGGCATTCCCATCACAGCAGCTGTTCCAGGAAGCCTTTGCTCCCGGCCTGCCCAAACCTTACCTCTTCATATCCCCATCACAGCAGCTATTCCAGGAAGCCCTTGCTCCCAGGCCTGACCAAACTTTACCCCTTCATATCAACATCACAGCAGCTATTCCAGGAAGCCCTTGCTCCCAGGCCTGCCCAAACCTTACCTCTTCTACCCAGCCATTCCCTTAGAGCATCTCCACCTAGGATGTACATTTGCTAGTAGCTGTGGAGCCAAGCATGTTTCAAGGCATAGGCCTGGCTCCTTTTCTGCAGAAATCAGGGTGGTAGTTAGGGACTGAAGATATCTTACCATTGGATGACAGACTGCAAGCTACCCCACCTGGCAATGCTGGTATCTGGCAACACTCACTCAGCAATAATATCCTAGCAGCAACACCCCAACAGCTGTACCTGGTAATTCTGCCCTGGCAGCATCCCACTGCATTAAAAATATCACCTTGAGTCACCAGACATAAATCTAGCCCCTAACCATTTACCAGCAAATTTTTTCCCCTCTGATCTAAGTGGTCTTACTTGGTGAGGTTTTACATAGGGTACTAATAATGATAATAATAATAATAATAAACTTTTTAAAGTGTTTACTATATGCCAAGCACTATTCTAAGTGCTCCACTTAATCCTCATGCCAACACTATGAGATAGGTACAATAATCACTCCCATTTGATAGGTGGGGAAACTGAGTCCCAAAGAGATTCAATAATTTGCCCAAGAGTAAACTGTAATGGTAGAGATGGGCTATGAAGTCAGTAATCCATCTCTAGGCTCTTTGCACTCAATTCTGCTGCTCTGCCCCCTATGAAGCTCAGGGGACCCAGTTGCCTCCCCAGTGGCCCTCAGGAGAGTATGTTAGGGCATATGAAGAAGCCCACCAGGCTAGCTTCGTAACCTGTGAGGGCACATACAGGTGGAGGGCAACAAGGGGAGCTCTTAAGTGCATTTGTCCTAGACTGTGAAGCTGGGCTGGATTTAGAAAGGCTCAAGGATGGCCAGGAGGGTGGTCCCACCACAGAGTGGGGAGCTGTCTGCTCCACAGGGAGGAGCCCTTGTTCTCACTGCCATCCTAGATGAAAAGACTATCGCTATGAAGAATGGGCCCAGGCTCCTAAGGCTAATAGAGCTGGTGAGATTGCCTTCTGCCCACTGTGGACTGGAGCCTAAGCAAAGGCCCCTGGGCTCCAGGCTTGGTGGTATGTGAGTTAGGAGGTAGGAAGGAGAATGCCCAAGAGGGCCAATGGAGTCACGTGGTCAGGACTGTAGGCACCTGGAAGACAGCATCTCTAAGTAATAAGTCTATATCCAAGCTCATCATCAGAGAAAGAGGCCTGACTCTGGGTTTATAAAATCTAGTGCCTGCTTCCCCTCTCTTAGCCTCAGGTTCATCATCTATACAATGCAGGTATTAAAAACAACCCTCCGGGCTGGCCCGTGGCTCACTCGGGAGAGTGCGGTGCTGATAACGCCAAGGCCACGGGTTCGGATCCCATATAGGGATGGCCGGTTTGCTCACTGGCTGAGCATGGTGCTGCGTAATAACTTCGTATAGCATACATTATACGAAGTTATACGAGGAAGGGAATATTATTTTTTATTTTTTATTTTTTAAAAAGATGACCAGTAAGGGGATCTTAACCCTTGACTTGGTGTTGTCAGCACCACGCTCAGCCAGTGAGCAATAGGGATGGCCGGTTTGCTCACTGGCTGAGCATGGTGCTGACAACACCAAGTCAAGGGTTAAGATCCCCTTACCGGTCATCTTTAAAAAAAAAACAAAAAACAAAAAACCCTCCCCAGTGGTGTCATAAGGAGTAAATGAGATGGTATATTTACAGCACTTAGCACAGTGCTTGCCCAGCATACAGTGTGTGCTTGATAATGGGGAGCTATTGTATTAGCAGTGCCCTGATTCAGTTAATGGTGAATGAGTGTCTCTAGAGGTGTGTTATGGGGCTCTGTCCTGACCAATAATACAGATGGTGGAGCTGAAGTTGCAAGGGGTGAGCTGGATCTAAATTTGGAGAGAAAACAGTGGGCAATAGAACCAGCATTCAAAATAATTTCAACAGGCTGGAATGAGCAAGATGACATTGTTCTGCTGTGAGTGTCAAGACATTCCACAAAGCAGAGGATGGGGGAGAGACCTGACTTGACCCCTGTTCCAGTGAAAAGGATCTAAATGATTTAGTTGACCACAACCTGATGGGAACTAATCATGAGAGAGAAAGGCTCTGAAGCCCAGCAGTCTTAGGCTGCATTAACAATGTGTCGCGTCCAGCCTGGGGGAAATAATAGGCCTATTGTGCTGGCTTGGTCAGGCCATATCTGGAATCTTGCATTGCTACACTGTCAGACTGGACTCAGGCCAGGAGGGGGACCAGCCCAGCCTCAGCTCCCAACCACTTTTGCTAAACCTTTCTTGTGTATTTTCTTGTTTCATTCCCCAAACAACCCTATTAGGTAGGTTTGAGGGGTCTTCAAAAATTTCATGGAAAAATTAGTATTATCTTTTAAGTTTATTTTTCCATGAACTTTTTGAAGCACACTTGTACTATTACTATCCCTGTTTTACATACAGGGAGGTTAACTGAGTTGCCCAGGATCAACCACATAGCTAGTAAAATGGAGGAGCTTGGGGCTTTTCCAAATGGGCTCCTCTTGTACTTGAACCTGAGGAAGACTGAACATTCATTCACTGAACACATACTTGTATATATTAAGTTCCTACTATAAGTCAGTCCCAAGCTAGTTAGTAGGGTTAGTGAAAAAGATGTGGTTCCTACCTTCAAGGAGCTCATGGTCTGATGGAGGATCCAGGTCACTTGAGAGTGTGATTCGAGGGGAGTAAAGATTTTAGGGCTGGAAGGGGTCACAGAGTCCACCTTAACCAACTCAAGCCCAGAGAGGGAAAGAGACAGAACAGTGTCATGCAGCTCATGGTGGAGCCCTGGGGGCCAGTCCGTACATTATTCAACTGCCTCACTTTGACTGTCTTCTGCTCAGCAGTGGCCAAAAGCGATGTACTCAGTTGGGATCTGCTTGGGCACATGAGGGAGCTTGGTGTGGCCATCCTGGAGTAGCCTGACCTCATCGCTCTTCCCTGCAATCAGAGTTTTAAAAAAAGGAAAAAGGAGCCTGACATTGAGAACCACAGAAACAGGAGTAAGTGGCCTTTGAGAGTCCCAGCACCTCCTTCATTAATCAGAGAGAACTGACCTCTACTCAGCCTCTCAAGTGTCTGGGAAGACTGGTGTGACATTGGCCAAAGCCACCTGGAGGTGGTAGAAAAGATTGTTCTTTTCTGACATCCATGCCTGGCCTCTGTTCAAGACAAATGTCCTCCCATCTTCTTTCAAGGACCGAATTACACTGTACTCTCTTTTTCAAATTCTTTCTTGATTGTTTCAACCCAGAGTGCCTCTGTAACCCACAGGGCTGCCTGGTGGGGAGACACATGTACCGCATTCAAACTTCTTCAATTTATGCTAAGGGAGTCAGAGCAGTGCTGTTAAGAGCAAAGGCTTTGGAATGGGACAAAACCTACCAGGACTAGCTCTGCCACATAACAGCTGTTTTACTTCTCCGAGTCTCCCTTTCCTCGTTGTAAAATGGGGATAATAACAGTACAACCGTCATACGGTGGTGGTGAGGGCCGGATGAGGTCATGTTAAGCATGGAGGAAGCTATCCATAAAAGGCCGCTGTCCCTACCACAGTGTACTAGTGCCTGTGGCCCGGGTCCCTCTCCACAACTCAGCTGCTCCCTGCCGGCGGGGGCAGCCACTGCTGGGCTGCCTCATGTTTCTCCCGCATCCCTGAGGGCCCCATAGATGCCAATGACAGGAAGAAGGAATGGTCGGTGTTGGAGGACCAAGAGGGACATCGGTAAAGAAAGGGCCAGCCTACATGCTCCACGTTTGGAGGAAGAGGAAGACGCTACCTGGCTCAAGATTTTAAAAGCGACAGTGGTTTCCGGGACCCCACCTTTCCTAAGCATGGGGGTCAGAAGTCATGGGATATAGGCCCGACCCAGGGAGAACTCACTCTGGGGGGCCTTGGACAGGTCACTTTCAGCCTTGGGCCTCAGTTTCCTCGTGCCTGTCAGGGGGGTCTCGCGGCCTTCTTCCGGAATTGCGGGGAGCAAGCGCAGCCGGATGCGCGTTCCGGGGCTTGATGAACGTGGCTCAGCCGCTGGGCGCCGCCGGGCGGGTGGGGCAGGCGGGAGGACGGCGGACGAGGGGACTGGCTGGAGGCGGGGCCGCGGAGCTCAGGGATTGGCCGAATCTTTAAGAGGCTCGGAGGGGGCGTGCCGGGGAGTGCGTGTCTCGTCTGCCTGCCGGCTTCGCTCGTGCACGGTGACCGTGGCGGCGGCGGCTGCGACACCAGCCCAGCGGAGGCCGGCGGAGCAGAGGAGCATTCCGGCGTCCGGGTCCCAAGCGGCGTGGCCCGCGGGTCATGGCCAAAGGAGAGGGCGCCGAGAGCAGCTCCGCGGCGGGGCTACTGCCCACGGGCATCCTCCAAGCCAGTGAACGCCCTGCCCAGGCGAAGGTAAGAGCCCGGAAACCTGAGTGGTGGACAAGGGGTGGAGGGCAGGCTGAGATGGGGGTGTCGGGGGATAGGCCTGGTCCTGGGACACTTGCGATCGCGGGGGACAGGCAGGCCTAGGGGCAGGAGAAGGCAAGGGGTGTCCCGGGGGCAGGGGGTGATGGAGAAGGTTTGTGGGCGCCGGCGCCCCCCTTTGGCTCACCCGCACTTCGCATTTCTGCGGAGGCGCTCCGCCGGCAGCTCCACGTTGCTCTTGGCGCTGCCTAGCCGGTTTCGGTTCTTCTGTGCTGAGCAGCTCGGGTTTGCCTCCGTAGAAGCTGGAGAGACCCCAGAAACCTTGGAACCCCCGCCCCTGCATTCCCTATCTCTCATCCCCTACCCCCAACCCCCACCGGCCTACTCTCGCGCCTCAACTCTGCTGTGAGGGCCGCTCAAGTTCATTCATAAGAACAAGGGCTCTGCTCTTAAAGGAGACGCATCCCTCAGGCGTTTATGTGAGTGTGGGTGTTCACTCCTGCACGTGCTTTGCGCGTCTCTACCAGCGGCCCCAGCCCCAGCCCTCTGGACCTATTGAAGGACCGAATGAAAGCAGGCGGCCCCAGGAAAGGGATCTCAGGGAACAGATATCTGCTTGGGAGGTGATCGCCTTTTCCTTTTAATTTTATTAACTGATGCTTGCAAGGAGCCGGTGAAGCAATTATGCTGTTACTATGTATGAGTAATCTCTTTACTTTCCCTGGGCAATTCCAACCTCCCTAATGCCCCACCCAGAGAGGACCCAGTCCTGCACCTGGAAGCCTTTCTTCCTCTTTCCAAGGTCCCCTAGGAGCTGGGGAGGGAGGCAGGGAGCTGGAGGGTAGGACCGCTCCAGGGTTTGCCTGAAGCTTTGGCTGCCTACAGGGGCCAGGGACGCTCTGGGATAGACAGAAGGAACAGCTGTGCCTGCAGCCAGCTGAGCAGGGCCCCTACAGCTCTCTAGGGCTCTCACCCAGTAGGCAGGTGGATCCTGGCCTCTAAGCCAGGGCGGGAGCCTGGGCTGGGCTCAGGGAGCTCTGGCAGCAAGAGGATTTTCAGGTTGTGGCAGTTGGTGCCAGGTGGGGACAGGTCCGCTGCTGGAGCATGCTCCCGCTCTGTAACTTAGAAAGGAGCAGTGGCTGAGTCCTTGTAGAGAGTTCTTTAGGGATGGTAGGCTGATAAGCTTCGTCAGAATGGGGGTGTGGGGAGGGGAATGAGGGGAGGTGGCTTAGGGACAACTTCCTTGGGAGTATGGATTCCCTTTTTCCAGGTGCCTAAGAACAGAGAATACCTTTCTCTTTTCTTATGGGAAGTGGGATCTCCCTAGGTGGGAACACTGAAAGGCAGAATTGTTTCCCTGACAGAATTGGCTGGAGGGATGGTCTTGCTTCTGGAACCTTCTAGGGTGGAGGCCAGGATTTGGGACCTCTTTTCATCCTTTTCTCCTCTTCCCAGAAGGAACCAAAGAAGAAACAACAGTTGTCAATTTGCAACAAGCTTTGCTATGCAGTTGGGGGAGCCCCATACCAGGTGACGGGCTGTGCCCTGGGGTTCTTCCTGCAGATCTACCTATTGGATGTGGCTCAGGTGAGTGGCCTCAGCCTTCCAGGGCTTCTCTAGCATCCTGAGGTGGGAAAGAGTAGGCACCCCTGAGTAGGTTTACTCAGTTTTCCCTATCTGTGAAACGGGACCGGGAATCCCTTACTTTGCTGCCTTTCAGAGTCACGATGGATGAGAAACGAGAAGATTCTAGAAAGTATCCAGGAGGGGAGTCTGTCTACCCTAAGAGCCTTAAATGGCAAGATCTGGCAACTCCTTCTTGCCTGGCAAGAGTAATAGAGCCTGGAGGGTCAGGCAGTAGTGTGAGCGAGAATGAGCCCCACTGGTGACGCTGTTCTTAGAAGAGATTGGCACACCATGTCCCTGGCCGGAAGACAGTCAGCTGGCTTGGCTCAGGAGTTGGTGGATGTTGCCAGGCTTGTGGACAAGGTGCATCCCACCTTCACGTGAGGAGCAGAGACAGGTTGGTAGGCAGAGGGGACCTCAACTGTTGAGCCCCAGTATACAGTTTCTTTGACTAGAAGGAGTACTTAGGGTGAAGCAGGCCTACTCTGTGCTTCGAGAAGCCTTGGCCAGTAGCCTGGCATCCTGAGAATCCACCCTGTCTGGATGGGAGAGTGGGAGGCTGAATAGCCTCAGCTCCCAGGGCTCCTGCACTGGCCATCTTTTCTATGTAGCATCTGACTTGGCAAGCAGGGCATCTTAGTTGTATCCATTTACAGGTGAAGAACACTGAGCCCCAGAAAGGACAAATGACTTCATTCAGCAGCTAATTTTGGAATGACTTTCATGGTTGGGCCCTGAGTAGGGTGCAAATACAAAGAACCTGCAGTCAAAGTGTAAAACTATGTTGTAGTGAGTGTTGAGAGGGGGTAGATTGGGGAGACTATGGTGTGGAAGAGACTACCAGGTTTCCAGAGCAATAGCAATAGAGGGTCATTGATGGATGAGGAAGAATCCAGAGAATCTGTATTTAGGGCCTAGAGGGTTTGGGGGTAAGGGGATGGCTAGAGTGGGTAGTGTTAGGCCACTACAGGCATCTATAGATTCCTTTTTCCACATCCAAGATAGAACTTGACCCTGTAAGATAGAGATCATAACTCCTTGTATGGGGAAACTGAGGCCTGTTGTGGTCACTCAGTGAATGCTAATTCTGACATCAGATGGTTAGGGCTGTGAGAGGGAAGGAAGGAAATGATTCTGGATTCATTATAATTGATGGGATATATTTTCAAGGGCAGTGGAGGAGAGGAGATAAGAGGATAAATCTAGGAAAGCTAAGGAGGCACACAGTGCTATTGTTATCAGAGAAATGCTATTGTTGTTATTAACAATGCAAGTGAAGATGTTTAAGGCCCAGGTGGGAGCAACACAGGGTCTCAAGGGCCTGGCCAAGGCAGATAGGGAGCCCCTGCTTTTGCCTACCAGTCAGAGTGGAGATGAATAGAAGTATGAAGGGGTTGTCTTTTGCCTCTTCTCCATTCCAGGTGGACACTTTCTCTGCTTCCATCATCCTGTTTGTAGGCCGAGCCTGGGATGCCTTCACGGACCCTCTGGTGGGCTTCTGCATTAGCAAATCCTCCTGGACCCGCCTGGGCCGCCTCATGCCCTGGTGAGTGGAAGAGGCTCCTTCCAGGAGGCAGACAGCGGGGCTTCCGGCATATCTGCCAGAAGGAATGACACAAAAGTTCAAGGGTGTTGAAACTCCATTGGAAGCCTCAGCTGCCCCAGGCGAGGGCCTCAGACATCCAGCCAGTTCGTTCCCAGGATGGCCAAAGTGCTAGGCTGGGCAGCTTCTCCCAGCCTATGCCCATTGCTCTCTGGGTTCACTCACTCCCCTTTGGTGAAGCTGGAATTCTGACTTCTCCCCTCAGTCATTCCTATAGTGTCAGAGGTAGTACTTCAGAGCAGTTGAGAGGTTGCATTCTGGAGCCAGCATGCCTGGGTTTGAATCCCCACTTCACTATGTACAGCTATGCTACCTTGAGCAAGTCACATCTCTGAGCCTCAAGTTTCTTCATCTGTAAAATGGCAATAATAATTATGCCTATCTCACAGGGTTGTAGTGAGGATTACATGTTTTTTAAATAAGTAAAGTACTTAGAGCAGTGCCTGGCATATATTGAGTGACATATAATTTGGCACCCCATCAGGGTGGCTCCTGGTGGAGCAGGGGTTGGGGGTAATACCAGGAATGGGGTAGCAGACCCATAACCTCTGGCACCTCGCATGATGTGAACTACTTTTTCCTTTGGTACAAAAGCCTTAGGCTATGGGGCAAGGTGGGGGGAGATAGTGCATAGATCAGACAGCAAGGGAGACACACATTACAGGCTGTCAGGCCGGGGCTCTGGTTCCCTCCAGGACATCCTGCCTCAGGGGTGGGGGGTTTACCCCTTTCATCTCTAGCCCATCCAGGCACTCAAGTGGGCGCCTTCCTGCCCCAGGGGCGCCCATACCTGGTCTCCGGCCTTCAAAGCTCTTCCCACAGCCCCTGCCCCCCCACTGCTTCCTTTCCCACGAGGCCCCCCACCCACCCCAATCCTGCCAGCCGTTGGCGAAGGCCCAGGTTAGAGCCTTTGATCCAGGCATCAGGGCCAGGGGCAGGACAGCCTCCTTACCTGGGCAGGCTGCTCAAGGTTCCCTGAGCATCAGCCCATGAGACTTGACCCTGTGCCCGCCTCCCTGGCAGCCAGTGGAAGGCGGGGCCCTGCTGCCACATCTCCTCATGAGGCCCAGCCAATGGGAGGCAGCTGCTGGGTCAGCCCCATGCAGCAGCAGCCGGTTATTCCCAGTCACACGGGTTCCTCGGTGGCTGCTCGGCTGCCTACGAGTAGAGGATAGAGTGTTTGATGGAGGCTGACGAGGAACCCTTGTTCTCTTAGGAAACACATGGATTAAGGAGGGTTGGAAGAGGGCAGGGACAGAGAGCCAATCAGGCCCTCCCTGTGGGAGGTGGGATCTGAGGGACTCTCTGAGCAGGTGCAACAGCCAGCTTGGGGAAATTGCTGGGGCCCTTCAGGCTGGTTTCTGATGTAGCAGGTGTCTGCGTATGCGTCCTTGCCTGTCTGGTAGTACGCATGTCTGAGAGAACGCCAGATGGCTTGTGGGCTGAGGGGCCACGGTCTATGTGGCCTCCCTGTCCATACCACAGTTAGGATGTTGGCCCCTCCTCAGGCCTGGAGACCCAGCACCCTTTTTCCTCTCAGTGTAGGAAGAGGCTGGGCCTGTCAGGGTTCATGAGCCCTGTGGCCCCTTCTCCTCCCAGTCCTCAGGGCAGCCCTTGCTCTAGGCCTGCATTTAAATCCTCTCCTTCAAACCAGGAAGACTTTGACATTCACTTTCCCTGGAGTTCCCAAGGCCACCCTGTGAGAGGCAGGAGGTCACCAGGGTTGCTCCAGGAGACTGGGATGCAGCAGGCTGGGTCTGACGTATTACTCCCAGCCCAGTGCTCCCACAACTTCCCTGGCTATGGCTTGCACTGGTTCCTTACATGCCAGCTCTCCTGCTGAGCTTTCCTGAGGTGACAATCACAGCAAACACTTAGTGTCCCAAGCACCATTCTATGTTTTAATATCAACTTATTTAAGTCCCAAAACTACTTCAACCCTATGAAGCAGAACCAAAGTCCTTACAATGGCCTGTGAGGTGTCCTTGTCTCCTAATTCCATCTCCCTTGCTTACCACACTTCAGCCCCACTGGCCTTGTTGTTCTCCAGACGCTCCAGCCTGAGGACCTTTGCACTGACTGTCCCACATGCCAGGCACACTCTTGCCTCAGACATCTACCAGGTTGACTTCCTCCTTTCATTCAGGTCTTGGCCCAGAGGTCACCTCAGTGAGGCCTACCCTGTCCACCCAGTCGTGAATTGCATCCTCACTGCTGACCCCTGTAGCCTGCTTTACTTTTCTCCACAGCACCTGTCACCGTCTAACATGTTATATAACCTTTTAAAAAAACTACAGTAAAATATGTATCACATTAAATGTACCATTATAACCATTTTAAAATGAACAGTTCAGTGGCATTAAGTACATTCACATTGTTATGTGACCATCACCACCATCTATTTCCAGAACTTTTTCATCTCACCAAACTGAAACTCTGTACCCATTAAACAATCACTCCCCATTCTTCCCTCTCCTGGCCCCTGGAAACCACCATTCTACTTTCTGTCTCTATGAATTTGACTGCTCTAGTTACCATATAAGTGGAATTGTAGTGTCTGTATCCTTTTGTACCTGGCTTATTTCGTTTAGTATAATGTCCTCAAGATTCATCCATGTTGTAGCATGTGTCAGAATTTCATTCCTTTTTAAGGCTGAATAATATATGTAACTTTTTTTTTTTTTTTTTTTTAAAGATGATGGGTAAGGGGATCTCAACCCTTGACTTGGTGTTGTCAGCACCACACTCTCCCATGTGAGCCAGGGGCCAGCCCAATATATGTAACTTTTAAATTATGTTTATTTTTTTCTCTTCACCAACTAGAATGTAAGTGCCACAATGGCAATGGCATTTTTGTCTGTTTTGTTCACTGGTATGTCCTAAATAATTAAAATAGTGTCCAGCACATAGTTGGCTTGAGTAAATGTTGAATATTATTATTCTCTTTTATAAATGAGGAAATGTGCCTCAGAGAAGTTAAATAACTTGCCCGAGACTAAGTTATTTATAGTTAGTTGATAGAGCCAGAACTGGGTCCCTGAAGTGTGATTTGAAAGGTTCTTCTCTTTTTTTGTTTTGTTTTTGGCAGCTGGCCTGTACGGGGATCCAAACTCTTGGCCTTGGTGTTATAACACTGCACTCTAACCAACAGAGCTACCTAGCCAGCCTGAAAGGCCTTTCTCTCAACCACTGCACTCTCCTGCATTTATGTATTGATGCCATGAAGTTAGTCCATCGTGAGGTCTAACCACTTGTGATGGCTGATGGCATGGGACTCACATGGTGGAGGTGGACGATTCATCCCCTTTATACTTACTTCACCAGGCCCAGGCCTTCCACATGGCCCCTCCATTTTCCCCCATCTGGAGTTGGCCTCTGCCACCCCACCCCAGCTTCTGTGTGTGTGTGTGTGTGAGTGTGTATGTGCGCGCGTGTGCACGGGCGTGCACGCACGTGCAAATGATGAGTGTGCACATGTGAGAACACATGAGTGATGGGGTTTACATGGCCCCTCCATTTTCCCCCATCTGGAGTTGGCCTCTGCCACCCCACCCCAGCTTCTGTGTGTGTGTGTGTGAGTGTGTATGTGCGCGCGTGTGCATGGGCGTGCACGCACGTGCAAATGATGAGTGTGCACATGTGAGAACACATGAGTGATGGGGTTGTTCCTTCTCCCTGCCTCCTTGCCCTACTACTGAGGCCTTGGCCTCCATTATCAGCTCTGCAGCCCAGAGGCAACTGCTACCTCTGGAGCCCTCACTCCTGGGGAGACAACAATGAGACTCCAGGTCTGACCCTCTCATGCTCTATACTCAGGATTTCAGGGGCCCAATCCCAGTCTACCCTTCTGGGCTTGGGCATCAACCTCTTCCCAGAGGCCTGGTGTGGATGGATTCAAGGAGAGAACTTCCTCCCCACGGGTACATGGGAGCAGAGCAGTCAGGTGGGGCCTGGCTCCTGGGGTCCTGAAGCATCCAGCTTCCACTCAGACCCTTCCCTTCCTCAGGATCATCTTCTCAACTCCCCTGGCCATCATCGCCTACTTCCTCATCTGGTTTGTGCCCGACTTCCCACGGGGCCAGGCCCTTTGGTACCTGCTTTTCTATTGCCTGTTTGAGACACTGGTCACGGTGAGCGTGGGTAACTCTCCTGGCTATCTCTGGGGGCAGGGGTGAGGACAGTCCCTGGGGCCTCCAGGCCGCCTCTGTTCATCTGTCTGTCTGACTGGCCAAGGGTCTCTCTTCCATGCCAGTGTTTCCACGTTCCCTACTCAGCCCTCACCATGTTCATCAGCACAGAGCAGAGCGAGCGGGATTCTGCCACTGCCTATCGTAAGTCTCCCTGGCCCGCCTGATCCCACCCACCTGAGACCCTGGGCCCCTTCACTCCCAGACCCTCCTGCCACACTTTTTCCCTTATGGGCCCAGCTCTCTGCTCTGCTCTTGGGTGTGGGTGTGAAACCATCTTAAAAATAACTCAATCCCCTTATTGCTCAGGGGAGGCCCAGAGAGGTGTAGGGTAACCAGAGGTCACCCAGAAAAAGGCCATGAGTTCAGACCAATGTGCCATCTGCCCTGCCACCTATATTCACCCCACCTGGAGCCTGAGCTGGGCTCTCATCCATCTGACCATCTTCCCTGGGTCCACAAGCCATGAGGCCCCTTCAAAAGACTTCCTTTTCACTGCACAGGAATGACTGTGGAGGTGCTGGGCACAGTGCTGGGTACAGCGATCCAGGGGCAAATTGTGGGCCAAGCGGATACGCCTTGCCTCCAGGACCCTAATGGCTCTGCAGTGGCTCTGGAAAGTGCCAATCACACATACAGTACCACCTCACTCAGAAAAACGGTGAGGCTCCTGGCAGGGAAGGGATTTGGGGAGATGAGGGACAATGAGGTAGTTTGCAGTTATCCTAAAAATAGTAATAATAACTAGTGTTTATTATATGTTGGGCATTTGATATACATTAACAACTTATATGCCCAATATGTCCACTTTGCAGATAAAGAAACTGAGACTTATAGAGGCTGAATAATTTGCCCAAGATTTGGGAAGCTATGGGCTCTCAGACTCCACAGCCTGGCTTCTTAACATTTTGTTCATCTGAACTTTGCCCAGTCTTGGGAAGCAACAGCAGGCCTGGGGTGATTCTCCCAGTTCACAGATGGAGACATTGAGGCCCCCAGAGGAGAAGGGACTGCTGGGATAAGGTGCACTGACTGTCTCTGTATATTGCGTTTACCTCCCTTATAGCAAAATGCATACCTGCTGGCAGCTGGTGTCATCGCCTCCATCTATGTCATTTGTGCTGTCATCCTGACTGTGGGTGTGCGGGAGCAGAGAGGTGAGAGGACCCTGGGAGAGTGTGACACAGCATGGGTGACTGTGTCTCTATGTCTGTAATTAGGCTTTGGGAGTGGCCTCTGCTCCCACCTCACTGTCCCTCTGGCCCCCAGAACCCTATGAGACACAGCAGGCTGAGCCGATGCCCTTCTTCCGGAGCCTCCGGCAGGTCATGAGCCATGGCCCATACATCAAGCTCATTGCCGGCTTCCTCTTCACTTCCCTGGCTTTCATGGTGAGTGGGAGCCTGATGTGCTCAGCCTGAGAGGGACTCGCCTGGGGGTGGGGTGAGCAGAGGTCCCTGGAGCATGGGGAATGTCTTGGATGGCTCAGCCCCATTGTCACCTCCTTCCTTGCATTTCCTTTCCCCACCCTGTCCCCTCCCCAGCTGGTGGAGGGGAACTTCGCCTTGTTTTGCACCTACACCTTGGGCTTCCGCAACGAATTCCAGAATCTACTCCTGGCCATCATGGTGCGTGTGGGGCCCGAGAGAGGGTGGGCAGCCTGGGCTGAAGTGGCATGGGCTGTGGGGTGGTTCTTTGGATAGTCAGAGGATGTTTTCCAGACTGGCCCACAGTCAGGAAGGGTTGAGGGAGGCTTTCAGAATATTTGGGTGGATGGACAGTTGCATAGGTGGGACTGTGAAAGAGAATTCATGGTTGGTGTCAAGTAGAGAGCACAGCAGAAGCAAAGGTATGAACACCAGGAACTTTGTGGAGCTTTGTGCACAGAGGAAGGAGGTGATGTCAGGACCACCTCTCAGCTCCCCTGGGGAGTTGTCAAAGGTGCTGGTATACTTCCTTGCTGCCCAGATGATGTCATCTGGCTACCCTTGGGCAGCGCTGGGAGCACATTTGGAGCCCTAGGAAGGGCAGGAGGGGTTCTATGGCTCTAACCCACCTCCCTTGTCCCATGTCCATCCACAGCTCTCAGCCACATTCACCATCCCCATCTGGCAGTGGTTCCTAACCCGGTTTGGCAAGAAGACAGCTGTGTACATTGGGATCTCAGTGAGTGGGGCTGAAGGGTAGCACCTGGGTTGAGTTGAGAATTACTGGTGGGAGCCTCCCAGCTGACTCATCTTCCTGCCCACTCTCCTAGTCAGCAGTGCCATTTCTCATCTTGGTGGCCCTCATGGAGAGCAACCTAATCGTCACGTATGTGGTAGCTGTGGCAGCTGGCATCAGTGTGGCAGCTGCCTTCTTACTACCTTGGTAGGTATATACAGGCCCACCCGGGTATATTTCCCAGCCCCCACCCCCCAGCTCTGAAGCTCCTTGGGGAGAGTTCTATGGGGGCTTCTCCTCACATAGGCCATTCTGTGAGTCCAGGTTGGGCGTCTGCCTCATACAGTTGTACAGGTTGTGAACTGTGCAAGAACACCCAGTCAGGGTGGGAAATAGGGTCTAAAATCTGCTCTGCTCTCCACTTGCTAAGCTGAGCACCTAGAATAGGGCTTCTTCATCGTGGAGTAAGGGGCCTTCTTTTCTTATTCATATGAAGGTGCCACCCTCTCACTGAGCTGTGTGCCTCTGGTGTTGCAAGCTCCTAGAGGGCCACCTCTTGTCATTGACACAGATGCACTGCATGGGCTAGTGGGGGCCTGGGGTTACCATGTGGCTGGGTCCTCATGGCTGCCCCCACTCTGCACAGGTCTATGCTGCCCGATGTCATTGATGACTTCCACCTGAAGCACCCCCACTCCCATGGAACTGAGCCCATCTTCTTCTCCTTCTATGTCTTCTTCACCAAGTTCGCCTCTGGAGTCTCCCTGGGTATCTCCACCCTCAGTCTCGAGTGAGTGGGGTGGGGGCCTGGGGCGGGGCTGGGCGGGGCTGAGCAGGGCCAGGCCCCAGTGCCCCATCGTCACTGCTCCCCTGCCCACTGGGGCCCACAGCTTTGCCGGGTACCAGACTGGGGGCTGCTCCCAGCCAGCACGTGTCAAGTTCACGCTGAAGATGCTAGTGACCATGACTCCCATCGTCCTCATCCTGCTGGGCCTGCTGCTCTTCAAGCTGTACCCCATTGATGAAGAGAAGCGGCGGCAGAATAAGAAGGCCCTGCAGGCTTTGAGGTGAGAGTGGGAAGGGGACAGCACTAGTGGAGGAGGGGCATCATCCAGTCTAAGTCCTCAACTTGTGCCTCCTGTGACCATGTCCAGACCTACCTCCCACATGTCTTCACTTGACAGCCCCAACACTTAGCTATATGCCAGGCACTGTGCTGAGTGGTTTTACATTTTATTTAGTCAACAAATACTTATTAGATGCCTGCTATGTGCCAGGCATTTCTCTAGTGAATAAAACAAAGAAAAATCTCTGCCCTCAAGGAGTATATGTTCTAGGGACTGTGCATTCATGATCTTCTGTGTCCTCCAATAACCCTAGGTGTCAGAGAGTCTTAAGATTTCCACTCTGCAGATGAAGAAAGTGAGGTGTAACCAGGAAGAGTGACTGGCCCAGCTAATAAGGGGTGGAGCTGGGGTTTGAGCACCAGTGTTCTGACTGCAGAGCCTGCATTCATGCTGTTCCGGCATGCAGGACTTCGGGTGTGGCCTCAGCCCTGCCTTTTGGGAGACCAGACGGCAGGGTGGAATGAGTCATGCCAGCCCATCAGCCTGCCTGGACCAGAGTGTAGTTCTGGGGTTTGTGGTGACCAGTGTGTGGCAAGAATGTGAACAGACCAACCAGCAGTTTCTGGGCTGAAAGTGGGAGTGAGCAAACTCTATGCCCTGTGGTTCAGACTAGTTCAACAGCTGGCTAGGACTGCAAGGCCAAGATCCCATGAAGGAGGCAAGTAGGGATGGGGGAAGGCTAAGGAGGTTTCCTCTAAGCCACATCCTCTGGTTCTTATAGGGATGAAGCCAGCAGCTCGGGGTGCTCTGACACAGACTCCACAGAGCTGGCCAGCATCCTCTAGGGCCTGCTGTGTGGCCCGAAGCCACAATACAGAGGGCCTGGGTCACCAGGCAACATGAGGGATCAGGACCTGTTTGCCCACTCACCGAACAGCTGCTCTCCAGTTGCCAGGAGGGGGAGCGAAAACCTGAGAGTAAGTGGCCCAGGACACCTGTGCTCACTGTGGGGCTGGCAGCTCTACTGCCTCCTGCATCCCCTCTGCCCACCCATGGGGCTGAGCCCTGGGGCTGCTACTGTGAATATGCCAAGGACTGATCAGGCCTAGCCTGGACACTAATGTAGAAACGTTTTATACAGAGACTAATTAATAACTTAATGACTGTGTACATAGAAATGTGTGTGTATGTATATTCCTGTGAACTATTAATGTTATTAATTTTCATAAAAACTGGAAAATGGACCTGCCTGTTTCTGTGTCCTCAGCTACTCACTGAGCCCTTCTGTGCCAAGATGCAGATAGCAAGAGGGCACACTAAGCCGGAGGTGCCACTGGGTGGGAAGAAAGTGTCTGGAGGTGTGAGAACAGCCTTAGCTAACTTTCACTAAATACCTGCTCTGTACTGGGCACACCATGCAGGCTTTGCATATGCTTTGCTGATGTTCTCATTGAATCCTGGAAAGTATCTTGCTAAGTCAAGTCTGTCCCCATTTTAAAGACGAGAAAACTGAGCTCCAGTGTAGAGAGGGACTTGGCTAATGAGTGACCTAACTGGGGTCCCATTCCAGGTCTGTGAGACTCGGATACCTTAACCACCACTCTCCACTCCTCTGTGTCTGAGAACGACCGACCGACTGGCAGGCAGATGCTCTGCCCATGGCTGTGTGCATGCATCCCGCCCTGTGCATGCCAGAGCATGTGGAATGGCTGTGACAAGACAGACTGTGTGATGGGGCCCTGTAGTTTCCCTGGAGACCTGTGATTCTTCCTCCACAACTGTTAGTGACAGTGTTGGAGAGTGAGAATTTACCTGGCTGGGTATGTGTTGAATGAGGGGGGACCTACCCACTGGTATGGGAGGAGGGTGGTGGGGAAAGCCTAGTTTGTAGCACTTGCCAGGTTTCCATGGTATAAATATTCCCACCATAGCAAACTTCAAGTTACCAATGGCCGTACTAACTTGAAAAATTCCTGAAAATGTAACAATCAATTCTCATAAGCTGGTAGGAGTTTGCTCCAGCCCTGCTCTGAGTCTCACACACTTAGGCCAAGCTCCCCAAATCACAGGAAAGCAAAGCTGGCAGGATCAGGAACTACTTTGTCAACCTTTTTATTCTAGAGATGGATAAATGAGGCCCAGAGAAGAGAAGTGCTCAGATGATTGGGCTTGGTTTTTACCTTGGGTGTGGGGCTCCATTTTGGATGGGAGGGGATTCCATTTCTACTGACGAAGTTCTGCCAAGTCACTTTCACTTACTAACAGGCACTGTTCTATGTGCTTCATAAATATCAATTAAATTAGTGTTCATAACTTCCCTGTGAGGAGGGCACTATTATTATCCCCATTTTACAGATAAGGAAACTGAGGCACCAAGAAGTTAAATAACTTGTCTCAGTTCATCAGACAGTGAGTAAGTGGAGGAGCTGATATTTGAATCCAGGCTGTCTGGCTATAAGGCCCATGCTCTTTACCACTATTTTGGGCTGTTCTGTGAACCAATGGTTTTGCCACCGTCAAGGCAGGTCTTACTGCCTTTGTAGCTGCCATCTCATTCAGAGGCTGCCTGGACAAGGCAGGAGGCCAGTGTCTTGTCTGGCCTCTGTACAGCTAGTGTGCTCAGGGACTCGGACATAATGTTTACAGAGGCCCGCTCACACCTCCCCTCTCTCTCCACTCTAATCAATAACCATGTATCTTAAATTTTTTTGTTTAAAGTTTCTAAACCACTCAAGCTTGCTTCTTTCCCATCCCTACAATTACTTCTCAGGTCTTATCTTCCCTTACCTGGATCGCTATACCAGCATCCTAACTGGTCTCCTTGTCTTTGGTTTGACCTTCTCACACTCCTTCTGCAAACTAAGACAAAAGAGCAACTCTCCTGTTTAGAAACCCCTTGAGTCCCATTACTTCCAGAAGTCCAAGACCCCTTCTGACCTTCTCAGCCCCAGATCTAGCTGCAGATCTAGATGCAGCTCTTCCTGCAGCCACCTGTCTGACCCTGGAATACACCCATGCTTCAGCTCCACCTGGCAGACACTTGTCCAACATGTCTTGGCTCCAGCAAACCTCTCTGAAGCAGTTCCTGCCTCTCTCCCTTGGGGCATCTCTGAGTCTATTTCCCCTTCATCAGTCTCCCACACCCAGCCAGGGCCAGGCATGGTGGAGTGAGGCAGGGCATGTGGAGCTGGAAGAATGTGAGCTATGACTGGAGAGGGCTTTGGCTGGGAGCCAGACCCAACTCCTACTGACCCACAACGATGCTTCTCTCTGGGTCTCAGTTTCCCAAAATGTTTTATGGGGATTTAGAAGGGAAAATTCTTGCCTCTCTCCAGTTTTACACTCATAACATTGCTCTCCTCATCAAAGATTTAGGGGTGGACAGGTGGGGAAAGAGGGAAAGCAATCTGGGAATCCCAGAAATTCCTTGGGTCATTGGCTATCTAGGACCCTTCTGGACAGCTCATACCTACCCATCCTTTGGGAGAAGCCATCGTAACTACCTCTACACTCGGGTCCAGCATTACTACAACAAACCCTATTTGTCCCTCATCACTTGGTTCTGCTGCCCTCAAGCAGGCCAACCCCCAACCCCAACCCCCGCCAACACCTCTGCTAAAGGACCCGGTGTGACTTTGGCACCACCTGCTGGAAATAAAGGGCAACACCTCAACATTGCAAAGAAGGAATTCCAGATCCATCATTGATCTGGAATATTGATTCCCTTGATCTGAATAGATATTTACATAAGTCTGCTATGTGATATGTACCAGCTAGGACCTGAGGATAGAGTGGTGGACAAAAGAGCTTATATTCTCAGTGGGGACCAATGACAAATAAATGAACAGATGAATAAGGTAATTTCAGATTGTAATAAGCACCATGAAAGAAATAAGCAGGTAATGTGATAGAGGGAACTGGTGTGGAGGCTACTTTAAGTCAAGTGCTCAGGCTACTTTAAATCAAGTCAAGAATGTTCTGAGAAAGTGACGTTTGCTTGACTTGAATCAGGAAGGAGAAGAATTAGCCAGACATTTGAAGAATTGGGGGAAAGCACTGCAGGTGGAGGAGACAGCTAGACAGACCCTGAGGTGTGAAAGAGCTTGGTATATTCGAAGGACAGGAAGGAGACCAGTGCAGCCAGAGTGTAGTGAACAGTAGGATGGTTGGTTATGGGCTGGGGCTGGTGAGGTATCCGGGAGCCAGATCATTCAGGGACTTGTAGTTCACAGTGAAAATTTGTTGTTTTTTAAAGATGACCGGTAAGGGGATCTTAACCCTTGATTTGGTGTTGTCAGCACCATGCTCACCCAGTGAGAAAACCGGCCATCCCTGTACAGGGATCTGAACCCGTGGCCTTCAAGTGAGCCATGGGCCGGCCCCCACAGTGAAAATTTGTATTTTATTTTGAGAGCAGCTAAAAAGCCATTGAAGACATTTAAGCAGAAAAGTGATTTACACATAAAAAAATGTCTCCCTGACTGCTGCACAGAGACTTGATTAGAGAGGGGTAAAAGTTGAGTGGAAGAGAACATTCAAAGGCTCTTATAACACTCTGGGTGAGATTGGTGGTGGCTCAGGCTGGGGTGGGAGACATACCACATCACCCTTCTGAGAGCTTCTCATCTACATTTTCCTGTCTACAAAGTGTGGACCTAATAATCCTGACTACTTCAAATTAGATGAGGCATATGCAGAAGGCGTTTATGCATTATGATTCCAGGGGAAGAGATACTCATTTATCCAACAAATATTGAGTGAGCACCCCCTATGTGCTGGGCCCTGTTCTAAGTGTGAGGGATACAGCAGAATTCTTCCTTTATGAACTTTTGCCCTGTTTGGAAAAACTGATATTAACTGAGTGAACATGAATGTCATGAATGTTACAAGGAAGAGCAAGAAGCTATGAAAGTGTGTAGCAGGATCAGAGGAGGTTAAGAGTTCTTGGACTGAAGCCTCAAGAAAGAATAGGAGTTAGGCTAAGAGAAGAGGGGAGCAAGAGAGTCTTTCAGGCAAAAGGAACAGCATATGCTAAAGCACAGAGGCCAGGGAGATCATGGTGGAGTCAAGGAATGGAAGGAAGGCCAGTGTGGCTGGAGCACACAGACTGAGGGGAGGAAATGCGTGATGAAGCTGAGGATGAAGGCAGAGGCAGATGGTGCACACGCGGCTTTTGTGGGCCATGGTAAGCATTTTGGTCCTTATCCTCAGAGCAGAGGGAAGTTAGTTTTAGAGTTTTAAGTAGGGGAGCCATACTATAGATCAAGAATTTAGAAAGACCACATCAGCTGCTCCATAGGGAAAGTACTGAAGGAGGTGAAAGTGGAAGCAGGAAGGCAAATGAAGAGGATGCTCTTGTAATATTCTAAGAATGAATGGTAATGAAAGTCACCAGACAGGGATGGTGGCAGTGGAGATGGAAAGAAGAGGACTGATCGGGCAGCTGATTGTACTGAATATGAGGGAGAGAGAGAAAGGAAGGTGACGCCTAGATTTTTAACTTCGGAAACTATGAGTGGCACCTCTACTCAGTAACACAGGAAGCACTGGAGGAGAAGCAAGCCTGGGGGACAGAGCAATTCATTTGCCACTTGTTTGTATCATTTTCATATAAATAAGGGAGAAATCACACTTAGGAATTTCACTGTCAAAAACAGTGATACACATTATCACCACTACTACTATATAACATTTCATTGACCAATATAAATTGCATTAGCCAATGCAATTAGACAAGAAAAAGAAATAAAAATTGGAAAGGAATAGATAAAATTATCTTTATTTGGCAATGATACTTCTGTATTCCAAGAGAACCCAAGTGAAACAACTGAAAAACTACTGTAAATGAGAAAACTCAGTAAGAAAATGGGGTACAAAATTAATATACAAATCAATATCCTTTATATATATAAACTGCAGTAAGCTAGAACTGCATTGTTCAATATCATAATCACTACCACATGTGGCTATTTGAATTTAAATTTAGAATAATTAAAATTAAATAACATTTTAATTCAGTTCCTCAAGCACACTAGTCACATTTTAAGTTCTCATAGCCACATGTGACTACTGGCTACCACATTAGTGCTGTTATAGAATATTTCCATCATTGTAGAAAGTTCTATTGTTCAGTGTTGAGTTAGAAGATAGGGTGAAAGAGAAGATCTCATTTATGAGAGCAAAAAAATACCTAGGAATAGGGAAAAATCCTTTTTTGTCAAACCACCCAACTTAGTTTTTGGTCATGGTCTCCTTT